GAACATCTCACAACCAGAAACGTTTTTGGAAACACAAGACACTATTTTTCAAAAATAAAATATTAGGAAGACGTAATTCGCTACTAAATGAATACAATAAGGAATATTTCCGTGTATTTTTTTTGAATATCATATATTAAAATTTCTAAGGGCACCACGAACTGGCTGTGAGACGGAAAGGTAAACTTCCCTTAGTAGCCGCCAACGCGTCCTCGCCAGAGCACAACGTTGACTTCGAGTGCGTGAGAAGCTTAGACCAGTCGAAAGACCAGATTTCGCGCCTATTACAGGGAGTGTGGCACTCGATCGTAGGATCAATCAGTAGGCATATCGATTTGCCAGCCACTTATCAAGCACTGCATGTTATTATGAGTGTTTCGGCCGAAGGTCATTCTCGGCGCAGGCGAGCTAACCACGCATTGAGTTGTACAATTATCTCATTTCTTGACGATGGGCTCGCGTGATAGGTCGAAACGTCGGATGACGCCTTCCTGTTTTCCACAAATGTTAATGTGAATCCGTCTGTGGAAATGCTGATTAAGTATGCACTTCTAGAGTAAACTTGAGCGGTTCACACCAAGTAGGCAGCGGTTTTTCCTAAAGGTGATAGACAAAAATGTTTGGAAAGCTCCTGAATGAAAAGACCACATATTCCCTCGTTTGAATTAATTTTCGTGCTGGTTCATTCTTAATGGTACCGCAAATTCCCATGAGGAGTATTTTCTACTTGAAGGCATATTTTGTAAGTTTTGTTAAGTAAGGTAAAGCGGACGAGAATGAAAACTTTCAATCTACTTTCCACCGTCAGTCAACCACCAGACATTTAGCGCGGAAAAGCCTGAAGATTAAATCAAGGTTCTTCAATTCTCAAATATCTTGATTCATTATATTAAGAGATTGAAGGCAATATTTTAATCTCTTCTGCGCTAACCCTATATATCTGAACGTTTGGTCAATGAACATACCTCGCTCTGAAACTATACACATAAAATCCTCAAAGCAAGCTTCCTAGTTTAACTTAATTCAGGGACGGTCAACCAATCTGGGGATAGCGTTGAGATCTCAGGGACGGATCTCGGTACGGATATAACAATGGACCTACTTTTTTCCGCCATGAGTGAACCACTTTGGTAAACTGATTGTAAGCTCTCGCAGCTCTTAAAGTGCACTATTTATATTTTACATTCAAGGTGTACAAGGTTCTTTTTCATGAGCTTACTCTATTGCATTTTAGGCGAGGTGGTACAGGAAGTCAATAAGGACGGTGGAATAAGGCTGCCGCTTGGGGTTCCACCCCAGCCACCAATTATAGTCAATACAGTCAACAACTCAACCACCCTGATTCCACCAGCGTGTGAAGATATCTTCCACCAACCCAATTCTTCCCTCTTCCTCGGTGAACAGACGGCAAAAGTCGACACAGAAGAGTCCACGCAGGTCGAAAAGTCCTCGCTGGTCAAGTTTCCGGACAGCAGTAATTGTTTTAAGATGCCGCTGATGCATTTTGCGGGTGCCACAGTCAGTCAGACAGAAAACTGTCGAAAGCCCGAAAGGACGCCGTTAATGACAGCTTTCGAGGACTCCTGCCCCATGCGACAACGCGTCACCGAGGACTCGAGTGGTCAGCCTGCAAAGTTCCCCTTCACCGCCGGATATCCCTGGATTCTGCGAGACTCACTGAACTACGCCTTCGATCAGTCCTCTTTCGCCTCTTCGGCCGACACTCCTCATGAGTTTGGCACCAATTCTTTTTCCGCCTCCTCCAACTCATCCTCAGTTTCCTCCTACCCGACATCCGAGGAACTGAAAAAACCGCTTC